GATGCATTAGTTTCTTGGCCTTATCAAACTAAGAAATCTATTTTTCAAGAACAAAACAATTTCATTTACATCGTCATGCCAACGTTTATATTGTTTCTTGTCCTCCCTAACGTGGTCTATAAATTTGCTGCCTGGATCTATCGTTCTCAATAGGAAATATCAACAAAAAAAAAAATCTCAAAAATTTAATCATTTTCAACTGCTCCACTTTGAAATTGTCATGTAATGAATCCTGAATGCCTTAAATCCTTAATATTTTCAAGAGAAAAATAACATCCAGGTTTTGAGCCCGGATCATCTACTGTGGATTGTTAATAGATTTTGCACGCCATCAAGTGATATTATTTTGTTTTGATTTTACCTAGTCTTTTTTTTTTCCGGTAAACGATTTTACCTATTCTAATAGTATTCAGTGTATATATGTTCGTTCGTTGAATGAATTATGAAAGCCATTCGTTAGACAGTAGAAATGTGTAGAGTAAATCATCGAACAAAAGAACAACACACCTGTTTTGTCCTCCAATACTCAAGGTGGAAAAGTTCATATTGAATTGTGAACTAAGTTATGAAGACTTTGTTCCATGTCCCAATAACAAGTCGTAAAAATATAGCCAGAGTCAAAATCTTCATGAGCTAAGTTTCAAAAAAGAAAAATAAAAGTCTACAAGAGCTCCATCACCGATTCTCCTTCCCCTATCTAAATGGGCCAAAGTAAATTGATGGTTAAAGAAACAAAAATGATGTTTTTGGAATCCCAAAACCTGCAATATAGAAGATGGAGAAAGATCACAGACATAAGAAGAGATACATCGACTAAAATGGCCGAAAAAAGCAAGAAGAATTGTTAGTACATTTACAAATATTTTCTATTTAGAAAATGAAGATGCTTGGCAATAAAAATAAGAACGAATCCCAAGTTTTATAGTATAAATATTATATAATCCTATTTATCCCTTTGGACCAAATCTTATGAGAAAGGCATTATAATGGCTTGTTTGTTAGCATTGTAACACGATTCGACGGCGACGGCGGCAAGGACTACTTAAAAAACTAATTATCTTATAGCATTTTACTTATTTAATAGCATATCGACGAAATAAATATCCATAGTAAGAAAATAAAATCCATAAAATGGGTTTGCCTAAACAAAAAACGTATACAATAATGGATCTACTCAACAAAAGGTGTATTCAAGCGTTTTTGTTGTTGTGTATGATCAAAGTGCATTCAGTCATTAATTTTGTAAGTAATCGGAAAAGCGGTCTATATATTTATACATCAACTATGGCACATTGTTACAATACAAACACAATCTTTACCAATACCAATAGTGTTTTCTTGTTTGTTAATGTACCCCATCTCAACATTTACAAGACTCATTCTCATGCGTTGACCTTTAAACTCACTAACCATATTTTAATACACCCACCCCCTCTCACTCTCTATAAATCCAGTTGCATTCATTGATAGATCCTACAAATTAAAACCAGCAAAGAAAGAAATCAAATGGCAGCAAGAATTTCTTTGATCCCCTTTGCCTTCGTCTTCATTGTCTTGGCCGTGTTGGTCATGACTGCCGAGTCGCACGACCATAGTCCGGCTATGGCTCCGGCGCCACATGCACACCACGGTCATGACCATGCTATGGCTCCGGCGCCGCATGCACACCACGATCATGACCATGCTATGGCTCCAGCGCCACATGCACACCACGATCATGACCATGCTATGGCTCCGGCGCCTCATGCACACGACGATCATGAACACGCTCCTGCTCCACCTCCGAGTACTGCTACTTTGTCCGCCTATCCTCAACTCATCGCCACCGTATTGGTCAGTGCCTTGTCTTTCGTCTTCTGAGTTGTGGTTCCATTCATCTTCCCATTGTTTGCTCTCTGACTTTTTAGTTTTTTATATTTTCATGTCTTCCTGTTTCTTTAAAGATTGTGCAAAGCCGATTGTGATGTTACTGTTGCTCTCATAATAATTCGAATCTATGAACATTTCTCTTTTAATGTTGGGATTATAATAAAACAACCGTCAAGTATCATCGATTCATCGGATCCATTTTAAACCTTTTACACAAACTTTAATGAAAAATTTCTCAGTTGTTGGATATTAATGAAAAAACCACTCAAGTATTACTAAATCCATTTCAAAACACTCAGCTGAATATCTCATGCTAAAACTGATCGACTAAAGATTCTTAAACGCAATTAAACTTCTGCCTTTTTACTGTTAAAATTAATTTTCAATTCACTAGCTAGAGTGATAAAATGACATATATATCATTGAGTTGGATCAAAATAAAAAATATTTTAGTTGGATGCAAGAACAAAGATTAGGGATTAAAAAAACGATTGTGTTGTTTTATCACATACTATCGTACTGCAGCCCGTTTTTTTTAAATCAAGACGCAAAGTTTTATCAAACAAGAGTCGTATGTCATTTTAACGATACGATATAGAATTATCTTTGTTAATGAATTTTTATCATTAAAAATATAGTTGAGAATTTTAAAATGGACGTAATATATACTACTTGAGGAGTTTTTCATTAATATCCCTTAGCTAAGAAATATCAGTTGATATTCAATTAAAATATCAGTTGAGACTTGAGAGGTTAAAAGTAGAACCAGTGATATTAAAAAGAAAAATTCAATTAAAAGTACTCTTATGTTTGATCAAATTTACTTCCTTTGGACCAAATCTTCTGACCAAGGCATTATAATGGCTTTCGAGAGGCCCAACCCTTTGTAGTTTAATCTGAAAGGTTTTTAATTCAATGAAATGTTGTTCAAACAAAAAAAATGGCATTATAACGGCTCGTTTAAGGCTTTAAGCACGTTAGCCTGGACTTCTTTAGAAAAGTGAATTATCTTGCAGCATTTGCTAATTATCTCAAATAAATAGTGGCCTTTTGCAAGAAATAACACTTTGGATAAAATTTGGCAGATGTAAAAAAATTTTGTTGGTGTTACTAGCTAGTTCTTAGCACTTTTTCATTATGTTGGGATATTTTTGCTCCTTTATAAGATGGATGTGGAAGTCCTCAAGCTCGTCCATATGACACTTTGGGTTGGATTTCTCGTAGAGAGAGAAATATTAACAAGACAAAATATTAGAAATCGAGGGGAAAATCTACTTACGTGGATTGAAAGAAAATTGACAGCATTTAATGAGATAGGATTTATGATAAAAAAAAAAAAGTGATATATCTGCAAATGTCACACACAAAAAAATGGTATATGAATTTTGTCAATTTAGATGTAATTGGAATTTTCAAGTTAGCAGTAGCAATAAAATTTTGGAGTGTAGAATCATATTTGGATGTTTCTATAGTCCAAAAAGTTTGAAATCGCGTATTTTCTTTTGATGTATTTTTTTTAATGTGTGTAGACTTCTGTTCCAATTTAAAGTAATCGAAAATATCTGAAATGTGTCAAAATTTCCGATTTTTTTTTTCCATTTGATTGTTGTAGCATTAAATCCGGTTAAAATATAGAGAGAACCCCATATAAATAGCCATAAACCGATTATTAATGTGTATGATACC